AGGATGCCCGAGCTCGCGCTCCATCCACACTAACCACCAGGGCTTTGTGCGAGTGATTATCTTTATATCTATATCCGCCCAGTGGAATGATTCCTATTTCTTCCTCACGTAAAAAGTTTTTACGAAAAACTTTCATACATGTGGAAGCGATAGTCGTGTATTCTACGAACGGATACACGTCTCCGCGTTCTAAAAAGATTTTTCTGAACGCCATGCACGCGCGTCGAAGGATATTTATTCATTCCGATAATATTTTATTATTTCCTGTTTAAAATTAAAATCGAAATACGAACGCGACATTTCCTCGTACCGAACCATAAAACGCTCGTGTTCCTCGGGTTTTATTTGTTCGGGCGAATAATATCGTGCGTCAGGTATTGGACCAATATAATTTTGATTGTTCAACGTATTAAACAAACGAGGAAAAAAACCTTTGCCCAGAGTATCCTGCAGTCCGAAAACCTTGGGTAACTCCGATAATCGCATAGGTATATATAATAATTTGAGCTATCGATGAATTTTGTACGTCCAATCGTCATAACGATAATTTTCGTCCCGTTCAAACTCACCAGAGGTTATTCCGTTATTCCCGACTTTTCAACGATGTATTTTAAAATAAATTGAGCGTCAAATGCTTCAGCATTATGCACGATACGGATAAATTTTTTAAAATATTTAGACGAACGCGTCGCGAAATCGACAAACTCTTCTACGGGGTCTCTACTAAATACGAATTCGCGCACTCCACACCAACGACATCGCAATGACATGATCTCTATTCCCGTGCACGCTTCGCAAATTTGTTGCGCGACGCAGAGAGTTGGAACGTGAATTCTTACGTTCTCCGTTCCTTCCAGCGTTTCGTTTTGTCGCGTTTCGAAATCATAAAACACGAATGCGACGCGATCTCTTTTAACACGCTCGTCCGTGTCTTCAACGTCATTCGTATTTATTTGCGGACTTTCTTCTCGCAATCATGGTACTTGTACCCTCTTCAGGGTTTTCTACTGTAGCTTTACGACAAAGAGGCCGCATGTAACACAAATGATTCGAAGACTGTAACGAACGACACATTTTGCAATAAATTACGTCGCAATCGTATCGCGATTTTGAATTAATCAATCACCCACAACCGTTGCAAATTTTAATGCATTCGCAAACGCTTGAGAGGGATTGATTATACGATCCCCGCGTTCGATGACGATCGAAACACGCCCGAGGAAGACGCGAGTGCACGAATCGCACTTAATCATCTCAATGTCGGGCAGCTCGCAATACGGGATGGCTTAGCAACGTGGACATTTTTTTGTGCATCGATGCTCTCGGTCGTTACGAAAGTCCACATTGCACGCTACGCACTATCCTCCGCGAGAACCGACGGCGGCTTTTAAACTTAGTATAGGGTTATAATGTCGCGAACCCTCGTAATAATTATGATTTAAACAACACAAGGGTTCGCGATCTAGGGAGGAAAGTAACGAGCAGCCGTCGGATTCTCGCCTCGATCAAAAGTACTAAAATTATATACTATTATAGCAATATTTTTGGAAGCAGGAATCCGTTGGAATTGCTCTATTTCAAGAATATCACAGTCTTCCTCGAGAATAGTGATACCAGCGGATTTCGTTAATTCTTCGGCCATCTTACGCTGTAACGAAGAACGCTGGTATCTCACGGATTCCCATTTTTCTTGCAATTCTCCCGTACGCAGTTGCCCACGCTCTTGATGTTGTTGCGAGCCACTACGAACAAACGGGGAAAACATAAATTGTCTGTGTTATTTATTTGTAAAATCGAACGTTTGGCTATGTCTTCACGAGTCAATCTATTAGATTGACGCCCGCGACCTGCGGGTACCGAGACTTTGAAAACGCGCACGGTAAAATTTTCTGCTATATCGAACCCTCCGACACTTTGCGCCAACGAACTCACGAGTTGCCATATGTCTCCGTGAGTTAAGTCGCGTGCTGGACGAAACGATAGATCCGCCGGACCGCGCGTTAGATCCGCCGATTCGAACGATAATCCTACGTAATCGTTCGGATCGCACGAATGTAGCGCATACGTTCTAATTTCACGGAACACGCTTTCTTCAACGAACGATATCAGTATTCTCGGGATACGTGCTGGACGTATCGCGAAAGTTGCCTCCCTCCCTAGTAACGCGAAATTCCTGAATCGATGGGAGTTTTCCGCCCTTAATTCTATAAAAGCGAAATTATCTCTAACCTCCTCTTCCTGTCGGCGATGACGCTCCTGATCGTTTTCCTCGTGCTGATGATGATGATGATGATGATGTGTATATTGACGTTGCTGTTGCAGCTGCTGCTGCTACTGATGTTGTTCGCCGATAGAATTTTGTGAGGATTCTTCTTCCGTCGGCATGTTTTCTTCTCGCGTGTGCTGCGATGTAAGACGCTCAGCACCACCGCCTGTTTGTACTGTAAAAAAAGTTAAGCATACCTTATTAGTCCGATAACATTGCTCTATATATAATATATCTATACATTAGGTGGATCCATATATTCGTTCGATTTTTATTAGTAGTGAAAATTTTTTCCGAGTATCTCCGGTTTTGGTTGCCTTCAAAAATTTTACTTTCAAAAAAATTTTAGCCTTCAAAAACCGAACGAATATATGGATCCACCCAATATATACGAGTATGAAGTTAGAAACATACTATTCGTAACATCACTGCATGGCAAGATAACTCACCTACAGTTGTTTACATGATCGGGCGTGGGAGGATAATGTTTTTCTCTTTTATGTAATTTAATATTCCGGCGACATAGGTAGAACGGGGGAGTACGAAATATCTGATAAAAATATCTGCTTAAGTATCTCGAGCAACAAATAAATTTAAAATAAAAAATAAAAAGATTATTACCTTCATTTCCAAGAGGCACGTAATATCTGCTATCTTCTTCCTGTGTTGCCTGCTGTGTTATTTCCTCCTCCTCCTCCTCCTGCTCCTCTCCATTATCGCCGTTGTCACTGACGTTGATATTCTCGTTGGAGATGACTTTCACGTTATCGGCAGCATTATCGTCGGTGTCATCATTATCAGCATCATCATTATCATCATCATCATCATCGTCATCATCATTATCGTCAATATCGATAATGCTATCCTCCTCTTCTTCTTCTTCCTCCTCCTCTTCCTCTTCCTCTTCCACCTCCACTTCTTCCTGTATCAATTCCTCTTCAGTTTCCTGAGCTAAAAAGTAATTATTATTATTATTTTTTTTTAATTCTGTATATAGCTAACTCTCTCTATATTCATCTAATTTATTTTTTTAAAACTTATACGTTATGAAAATTGTGGAACCCGGTGAGACCAGTGCTCTGGAATCGGCTGGACTCACACCGTCATCCCTATCAATGTTGTCGTCATCAACGTCATCATCATCATCATCTAAAACAAAATTGATTTTATTCTTCATCGCATTACATCTATATTATACGAACTAGATTTCTTGGATATTTGTGAAATACCTATCGATTACAATGACGGGGACGTTATGTGGAGGCGGAACATTGTTTTCCTCTTCGATTCGTGCTCTTCCTAGAAAAAAATAAAATATTTTAACATT